TTCTCTGAGCGTCCTCACCAACCAGCTCTCTCATTCTGGTCTCTCTTCTTGAACAAGCAACACCTCCTCCTCCGCCGCTGCCTGGCGGCCCTCGCTTCTCCTCGCCTGCCTGGCGGTCCTCGCTCCCGCCAGCAAACATGGCGACCCACCAGCTGTCCTTCTCTGAGCTTCCTCACCAACCAGCTCTCATTCTGGCATTCTTCTTGAACACGCAACACCTCCTCCAGCAAGCTCCACGCTGTCCAGCATTCATTCAACCAGGAGGCCAGCAACAGGCAACATCTTCTCTAACGAAGCTCCTGCACATCTACCTCCTTCAACACGCTACTCACCGAACGTCTCTACTGAGCAGCTCCTCACCACACGGCACCTCCAGCACCAGACTGTCTATCATATAACTTATATTATACAAGAAAACCACCTTAGAGTTTCCATCCATCCTGAGTGCTAGACAACATTATACCACGAATTCCTACACTATGTACTGCTTTTCCTTGTTCTTCAGCCACATGCATTATTATAAAAAAAAATTTAGTGCTATTACAGCCATAAATTAATTGTTGAAAGCATACCATTTTTTCTTATGGCTTTTTTTACACTTGCGTTTTTTTTTCTTGTCCTGCATTAAAGGCATTTTAGCAATTTTCAACCATAATCTAGCCACTTTCGCTATATTATTTACGTGTTGTTGACAACTATGACGGTGACCGGAGTGACAGTGATTGATCTTAGTCTTTGTTGTAGGTTTGTCGCTTGTTGCCACAGCTAGTGCTTACGATTTGTTGTACTTTTCCAGAGCATATAAAATGGTCACAGCTGCATCAAGGTTACATAGCGCCAAAGTGTGTGCCGGGGCAGGATGTCTTCGGGAACGTCCTCTTTTTTGAATGTTCAGATATGGCAACCCTATAGGAAATGGCTCCATGTACGCACTGCCTCTATAATGGCAGTATCCTCTTTCTCTACAGCTGGATAATGTAGCTCACTACCCTGCAAAGTCCTGGACATGAATGCAACAGAACGGCCACCTTGGTTCAAGACTGCTGAAATAGCTACTAATGAGGCATCGCACTCCACTACAAATGGCAGATCCTCATTGACAGATCGTAGAGTTGCATCCACAAGTCGCTTTTTTAAGAGTTCAAATGCTGTCAAGGCTGCTTCGCCCCGTGGGAACGTCTTACTTCTTACCAAAGGTTGAATCATGTCTGAGAAATTGGGGATCCATTTGGCATAATTGGCAAACATTCCCAGTGCCCTCTGCAGAGATCCTACTTTTGTTGGTGGCGGCAATTCTTGGAGCGGACACATCCTCTCAGGGTCTGGCATTATGGTACTACTCCCTACACAATAGCCAAGAACATTGATGGAGGATACCGATTTTATGGATTTAGATTCATTGAGTGTCAAGTTTCTGCGCTCAGCGACTTCTAGAAATTTCCGAAGATGTTCGTCGTGTTCAGCCTGGGTATGTCCGGCAATTGTAATGTTGTTCAAGTATGGGAAAGTATTCTTGAGATTTTCTTCTTCCACAAGCTTGTCCATTAAACGTTGAAAAACAGCAACTCCATTTGTGACACCAAATGGTATTCTACAGAACTGATATAGTCTCCCATCAGCTTCATAAGCTGTGTACTTCTTGTCAGATTCCTTGATTGGAACTTAGTGACAAGCCCTTTTCAAGTTGAATGTAGGAAACACTCTGTAATTGGCAAGATTATTGACCATGTCTATCCTCGGCAGTGGATAAGCATCTACAGCAGTTCCATACTGTATATTGATTAATGGTCTGAGAATAGTCAATGCAGAGTCTCTTCTTGTGCTTGTTAAGATGATCTTTCACCACAACAACCTGGGTTCGCCATGGAGATGAGCTTGCTTCAATGATAACCTTCTGACAGTAAGTGAGATGTTTGTTGCTTAATGAACAGGTGGTCATCCTTACTGAAGCGCCTCGATTTGGTTGCAATGGGTTTACATTCTGGTGGCAGGTTTGGAAAAGGCGATGGCTCATCCATCAAAGCTGCCGAGAGTGCACAGACTGAATTGGTACCAACAACTGTGAGTTCTGGTTTATGTCCTCCATACTCGAATGTCAGACTTTTGTGTTGTTTCTGAAAGTCTTGGCAGATCACAACACAGGTCTTTTAAGACGCCAAGGCTGGTAGACGGATACATTTGGCCATTGAGCTCCAAAGTTACATTAGAAAACCCCGAAGAGCTGATACTTAATGACGTTGATGCCATAGTGATCTCCTTAACGGATGGATACACTGTCAGATTTAATTTTTTCGCGGTGCTTTCACTTACGAAACTATCAGAACTACATGAATCAGTTAGTGCCTTCAGCTTGTGTCCATTTACTGTGACTTCAGTGGCTGCATGTGAGAGGCTCTGAGGAAATTTATTTGTAATATTATTATGTTCATTGTTGTTTCCTCTTTGAATTGTTACAACATTTGCTTTTGTGTTATTCCCAGATACGTATGTAGTGAAGTGAGTCAAGTAAATTGACGTAAATAAATTACTTGGTTGCTACATCCAAGCTTTACTTGACAATTCAAAGAGGAAATAACAATGAACATAATAATATTACAGTATTTTCCATAATGATATTTAAAAAATATCACACCAATATAATGGGCATTTTGAGGCCAGTTTGGAGCCATGTGCACTTGATATTAGGAGATATTCTGAAGTCAGTAGTAATTACTTTTTACTATACAAAAATGTCTGAGTACAATACAGCACTAAAGAAAAAGTACAGTATTGGAATTTTCTGAAGAAAAGGGGGTCCGGGGTCCCAGGAGCCCCCCCAGGGTCTACCCTTGAATTTGCAACTACAGTATTGCATCCAATAATTTTCCCACAGTTGATGCTAAGCTGATTAGATGGTAGATTGAGAGCAATGATCTGCCTCCATTTTTTAAAAAATTTTATTAGCTATCCTCTAATGAGTCGATGAAATACAGGAGGTCCACGACAAACGTCTGACTTATGAAAGAACGCCGATATGAATGAAGTTAAACTTGAAATTTACAGCATTTTAATTACTTGATAACTTATTTTTTACTTTCATTTACTGTATTTTGTCATTATATTTCTTCCTTTGTCTTAAATTAAGTGATTTGTTTATGTATATATATATATATTTTTTTTTGTACGGGGATTAGCCCACCCGGACACAGGTTACTGACCCACATCGGGGCCTGGGGGTCGAAAATTTAATAATAATAATAATAATAATAATAATAATAATAAGGACTTATGCTATGATAAAGTGGGATTTAATTTTTTTTTGTAAGTACAGTACAGGTAGTTCTGCTATAACGAGATAATTGTGTTCTTGTAAAATATCGTGTTATAGAAAATCGCGTAATAGAAATAACAGGGCTTATGGAGAAAATAGGGTTAGGTGCAGATTACTCGAAATCGAAAAAATTTAGTAGTTAGCCTAACACAAAGGATAGCACAGTCTAAATAAATGTTACATTCATATCTAATAATGAAATCATACAGTAAATGTAACACTTTACTTTGAAAAAATATGAATGTAACTTGATGGGGAAGAAGGGTGATTTTGAGGTTGATAACATCGAGCTTCTCTTCAAGTGTTATATCCTTTCTTTTACAATAATCACCGGGAATTCTATCATCAGAACGCTTTTTGGAGATATTCTTCTTTACCATATTCACAGTTAATACCACAAAATTGGAGAAATAGTAAGCAAAAATCGCGTTATAGCAAACAAGCGTTCGCGTTATACAAATATTGTTCCGAATTCATAAATCGCGTTAGAGCAAATTCGCGTTATCAAAACACGCGTTATAGCAGAACTCACTGTATGGTATGCATATAGCATGTGTTCCAACTTACGTACTTATCCGACTTACGAACGTCTTCAGGAATGGAACCCGTTCATACCCTGGGGACCCCCTGTATTAATTAAGATTGCCGAAGGCATATTAAGTTCTTCCTCGTGAGCCAATCAGTGGCAAAGAGGGTAAAGTACAGTGTAATACTCTAGCAAATATCTCATCAGGATCTGGCGACTTATTTGGCTTTAGTTTATCTCTTTGTTTTTTAATATCATTAATAAACACTACACTGTACTCAAATACCTGTATACAAAATTTATTTTACTTTTATCCTCTTCACCATTGATCGGCTCATAGCCACTTGGGCTGTCAGTTACGTCTCTGTTATGCACTGTTGGCAAATACTGGACATGCATTGGCTCCTGAATGTATCTGAACTTGCTCCAGTGTTGGTCAGGTCTGATCTTGAAACAGCTCACACTCGGTGCTGCACAACACTCTCTGGCAGGTTGTTCCAAGAGTTCACAATTCTCACTCCGAAAAAGTTTGCCATCGCAGTTTTCTGGACTTGTGGCTTCTTCAATCATGAGCTGTGACCCCTTGTGGGTCGGGCGTCCGACAGCTCCAGGTGTGGACACTCGACTGAGTAGTGCCCTCTGAGATGTTTATACACTTCAATTAGTTCGCCCTCTGCCCGTCTGTAGTATACTCATAAGCTAGGCAGTTGCAGGCACTATCTCTTTAGCATAGATAGTAGCTACCTCAAGGATCATATTTCAATCTTCTCAAGTGAAGACCGATAAGAGATATTTATTCAAAACATTTCTAATTTTTCCTCCATTATCCATAAGCTGTTTGGAATCTGATATTATTAGTCCCATCATTTCATGGGCTTTTGTTTTATAACTTTTCACTAATTATTAAATTTAATTTGGGTTGATAATGTAATGGTAATTGAGATAATTGTCGACCCTTTTGTTAAATCAAAATTTTCTTAAGTTAATTGGTTTTATTCTATGGATCATATATATATATATATATATATATATATATATATATATATATATATATATATATATATATATATATATATATATATATATATATATATATATATATATATATATATATATATATATATAAATAACTGAAAGGGCACAATGAAATGAAATGCAATACCCTGTATTCACAACCATTATTTATTAATTATGCGTAATAGTATGGCACTGTTAGGGGAAGCTTCAGCACCAGTACTCTGAGGCACTTATTGGATCATGTATCTCATTATTAATAACACACCTGGAAGCTCCTTAACACCATCTTGCATCAGAGATATTGTACAGTACAGTACTTATATACTGTATAAAGGTGACAAAGAAATGATTACTGGTTCTATTAAATGCAATCAAAATAGTGCTAAAGAAAAAAAGGACATACTGTGTACTTCCAATATACAGTACTGATACTGTATAGTAAAAGGACATGTAAATATGGAAGCAATACCTGTAAGTAGATGCCATATTGTAGGGCAGAAAGAAATGAGAATCAGGGTGACCTCCTTCCCTTGGCATGACCAATTCTAGTTGGGGCAGATGCCATGTAAAGCAATTTTTTGTTCAACCTCAGAATACGACGCTTATCTATGTGACGCTTAGCTTTGTCTCAATCATCAAGACTCAACCAAATCTTGGCCCCTTCTACAACTGTCAGCAAAAACCTTCAGTGGTTGTGTTACACAAACACTTTACCTCAAGGCAACTTATATACCGGGAGTACAAAACATTGGGCAGATGCGCTGTCCCGTCTCCGGCCAGTATCGTACATTACAAAATAGACAGTAAATTAAAACAGTAAAATACTGTACTGTACTGTACTGCACCACACATAAACAGAAAAATAAAAATATAAATGGTAGAATTGATAATTTAATCAACAAATTATAAAATATTTTTTATCCTTATTTCTCTCTCACTATTGCATAGGGTGGACCAATGGCCAAATCAATACCGGTACTAAAGAAAGGGACACTGAGGAGTGACACAAGGCAAGCATAAAAGGTGACATGATAATGATTGTGTAAGTAAAATTATTCAAACATACCGGTATAGTACAGTACGGTATAGTATTTCCTCCTAAGTGGTAACAGTAAAATGCAAAACATAGCAGTAATTCCCCTAGAGAAAATGCTCTTGTTAAGTTTGATTTCTTCATCTTTGGAAATATCAATATCTAAGAATCATGTACTGTAAATACAGTAACTGACCAAAGTGTACAAAAATATTCTTCCTATAATTCCAAATATTGACAGCTACCTCACAGGGATATACAGAATTCCCTGAAAACTGGAGCACTCAAGAGTTTGGACAGCTGAACAACAAAAGGAATAACAGGATTATTTAAACAAGTAAAATATATTCTTCATACAAATAAAACACAAATAGTTGAAGAACTGGAACTGTAAACAAAAGGGGAACTGACTTCATGTACATAAAAAAATACAGTAATGTACTGTACTGTACTTTATTGTATTATGGATGATATTTTGAATACTCTGTACTGTACAGTACTGTACTGTACTCTACTGCCATTTTGGTTAATGGAAGGAAATTATATGCATTTTTTACCTAGGCAGTAAGTCATACTTTTTCATATGGTTAGTGAGACATGAAAATGTCCTGCAAAAAATACAGTATTGTAAACTTCTTCGTCAGTTGATAATTCATGAGAAGCTTTCCTAGTAATCTAATATTAGATTGCCCATACATGCATCATTCTACCAAAAATAGATAATACAGATTTATCATATCATGTGGACAAGAAAATTATCTCGCTCTTTAAGGCATTTCTTTGATATCGAAATTACGTTCTATCACATTAAATTCTTTCTTCAGATGTTGAACTAATATACATACTGTACAGTGTATTGTATTTCCGTGATGCTGAAATATATTTTCTAAAGAAGATTCTTTATACTGCACAGTTATTGGTACAGTTCAGCTTTAAATGCTAAATAGTAACAAGATATCTGGTCCAGTGCTTCAAGTTTAATACCATGTGAAAGAAGCACCAGTTCTTCTGGATTAGTTAAGGAAGACTTTAACTCTTCACCCGCAATGGTGGTTGAGGAAGCACCTTGATCTCTTGGAATTGTTTAAGTTGTTAATTTTTCTCCTGTAGCTGTTAAGGAATGGATGAAAGGGCATCCAGTTCCTCACCCAAGATGGACGAAGAGGCTTCCAATTCTTCTCTTGGGATGAAGGCCATTGGTTCTTCTTTTGAAATAGTTGGAGAATACTGTTTTTCCTGCTGGAAAGGTTGAAAAGCCATCTATATCATGACTAAGGAAGCCTTTTGTTCTTCTGGAATGACTAAGGAAGCCTTTCGGTCTTCTGGAATAATTGAGGAAGCCTTTAGTTCTGGAATGACTGAGGAGGCCTTTAGTTCTTCTGGAATGATTAAGGAAGCCTTTAGTTCTTCTGGAATGATTAAAGAAGCCTTTAGTTCTTCTGGAATGATTAAGGAAGCCTTTAGTTCTTCTGGAATGATTAAAGAAGCCTTTAGTTCTTCTGGAATGATTGAGGAAGCCTTTAGTTCCTTGGCAGGAATGGTTGAGGTGGCCTCCAGTTAGATTGTTAGAAAATCATTTAATTCTTCACCCAAAATGGTGGGGGAGGCCTCTAATTCTCTTGTTGTAGGGATCTAATTTTGCTGCAGTACACGTTGCGTCTGTTTGAGAACTTCCTGCCAGGACTTTTCAATATCATAAGTCTCTGTCAGCTCCGAGCACACACAAAACCTGTCAAGACAGTGACACAAATTTTAACTACAAAGCATTTCAGTTGTTATACTACACTTTAGGGAATATCCAGTATACCCATACATATAAGCTCCTACATACAATATTTCTATTTAGTTAATATGTTAATTTAACATACTAATGCCCTAATATACATCCTCAATTTTTCATATGGTACTGTGTAGCACAAAACAAGCTTTTCCAAATGACATTCACACTCTTCATTTGAAAACAGCTGTTTTTGTTCATGATATCATTTTTTGGGGGCAGTATTGCAGGGATGATACTGAATCAGTAATTTTTCATGAAGTACTGTACCGATACAAAAGTTACTAAACATGCAAGTCACAGTACAGTATGGGAGTGCTGCAGATACCATAAGAAAAAAACTTAAAGCACACATATTTATAACTTCAAAGAATATTCTCCTGCAGAAGATGACCCCCACTACACTCTCACCACTTCCCACACCTTAAGCCAATTCCTCTGCTACACTACTACAGGACCTTTTCTTATTTTTTTTTTCAGCTCAGGCCTTGGGTTCGCCACACACTGTTAGTAAACCTAATTTACAAGTTGAGAGCAGTTCAATGAGATCATTCTTGTATTACTGTATCATCAGGAACTGGACCCATACAGGTACTGTGAGAATAAAGGTCACACTACACAGTACAGTAATGTGTAGTACTGTATTCCCCAGCAAGAAAGGCAGTGCTTTATTTGCATGGATTATTAACATAATAAATTACTGTTCTTATTAGTTACAGTCTTAGTTGCTTGGTTGAAGTGAGGCTATTTAGGTTAGGTTAATTACATTGGAAGTGATTTATTAGTGCCTTTTAATTCTAAGAGAGAGGGACAAAAGAAAAAGATCAGACTGTAAAGGGAGTACTGACTGATATACAGTACGTATATTGTAAATTGGTTTCAGCTTCTGTTGGTGAATGAGGCAGACTGATTTAGTTTGGTCAGGTTAATTCCTATTAGATCAAATTTTTCTCATACTATGCATAAATAATTTAATAGCAGCTTTGAGTAAAAAACAAATTGTTTTATACTAAATGTAGATAACATGAGTTTGGTTAAGTTAGTCTAAAGAATTTTTGAAGGTGATGTATTGTATTACACAAGTGTTGACCTGACCTGAGGAAGAAGGTGCCACGGATCTTGGACGGCACCAGGTGCATGACCCCATCAGAGTTGATATTCTTCAGCAGAGCCTCATTGACTTCATTGTTCTTCTGCAAAAGGTCATTAGAGGTCTGAGAAAAATATAACATGTAATATGTTAATATATATATATATATATATATATATATATATATATATATATATATATATATATATATATATATATATATATATATATATATATATATATATATATATATATATATATATATATATATATATATATATATATATATATATATATATATATATATATATATATATATATATATATATATATATATATATATATATGTATGTATATATATATATATATATATATATACTTTAGTAGAAGAGATGGGTTGGCGTACGGGAATGGGGGCTTGTTCCGAGGCAGAGGGCAGGCTACTGGCCCTCAGGTGAGTCATCATCACTGTCATCCACACTTATCAGGGCCTCCCTGACAAATCCCTCAAAGTCACCATCACTGTCTCTGCCTCTGTCACTATCACTGGCTTGGGCTGGCTGTGGTGGGTTGTGGGCGAAGAACTCGGTAATGCTTTGTTGACGGCTAGTGTTGATGTTGTCGTGATACACCTTGATGTAGGGGTCCATAATCTGCAACAGCTGGGCAGTGAAGACTTCATACCGGTTATTGTCAGGGTCGTCGGAAAGGAGGAGCTTCAGTTTCACTACACACTCGATGGCACCCCTTACATTACCATGCGATAACTTGCATTCTTCCTGGGATGACGCACCACCTGCCTCTTCACTGACGTCATCATCTTCTAACATCTCGTCGGCAGTCACATCAGGATCCCTTATCACCTCCATAATGTCGTCGTTGGTTGTCTCGGAGAAGCCTTTAGCTGTAACACTCTGTGCAGCTTCTCTGGCAAGGTCCACTGCTACTGCAACAGTCTGAACCTCACCAGTCACAGATTGACTCTGCCTCCCACCTGGGATACCTTGCAACACATGTCTCCATGTGTGACGAACCGTTGCTACATACAGCTGATCCCATGCCTCCACCAAGAAGTCCACAGCTTTCTTGATGTTGAATTTCCTCCAAAAGTGTTTCACAAGTACTTCTTGCTCTGCTAACTGTTGTTCCTCGTCCTCTTCGCTCTTGCTATTGTTGTCACCCAGGTTACGCAACTCATCCTTGGTGTTGGTATAGTCGTTCAGGAGCTTAAACTTCTTTGCAGAGAATGCAGCTTTCACATTGCAGATTAATTCTTGGTCCATGGGCTGGATTTATGACGTAGTGTTGGGAGGAAGGAAGACCACTTTTACGTTGGGGATATGATCCAACAGTAGGAACGAGTGTCCTGGTGCGTTGTCAAGAAGCAACAAAATCTTGAATGGAACATTCTGTTGCTCATAGAATTTCTTCACGTCGGGAACGAAACAGTCATCAAACCAGGAGAGGGACAGAGTAGAGAACATCCACGCCTTACGTGCGGTCAGCCAGTGGACATTTAGCTTGGTAATGTCCATGTTCTTGTAGGCGTGCAGCTTGAATGCTGTGTGGATCACCGATAACTTGAGCTTACAGGTACCGGAGGCATTGGTTGGTAAACAGGACGGTGATGCGCTCCTTCTGCAACTTCCGGCCCCGACACTTGCTGGCAGTCTTGACAATGAAGGTCTTGGAAGGGAGCTTTTGCCAAAAAAGACCAGATTCGTCCTTGTTGAACACCTGGTCGTCGTGTGAGGGGGCGTTTTCTTGGGCTGCCACCAATGTGAGGGGGCCGATTCTTGGTCTTGCCACCAATGTGAGGGGGCCGGTTCCCTCTCCTTTTCTACACCACCCTCATCGTACTTACTTCTCTTAAATCTTACTCTTACTCAGTTCCGTCACCTATTCTTTGGTAGCATGGACATTCTTTTGGTAGCCTGGGCATTCTTTTGGTAGCCTGGTCATTCTTTTGGTAGCATGGTCATTCTTTTGGTAGCATGGTCATTCTTTTGGTAGCATGGTCATTCTTTTGGTAGCATGGTCGAGGGTCTAGGCACGTGAGTATGGTAATTTTGGTATCAAGTCACTTGGATGGAAATAAAGGTAAAATACTGTGGGAGAAATGAATACACCTAAAGTACTCTAAAAACAAATTTATTAATATGCCATCAATGGGGGAAAGATATTGTATTAATCATATAATTACCAGGCTCACCTCCTGGGCTTAGTGCAAACTCAGTACCTTCTTCTTTACTCTTACTCACAACATTACTGGTGGTACATTACATGGCACTCATGGTAGATTATTCAACATATACGTAAACAATGACACTAGTATATGCAGGGGTCCACTACCCAACATGGGATAATTATTTCCAACTAATTATCCCTAACATACATGTTACAACACTCTCTGTGGACATATACTTCCAAGGAGTAACCCAGGGTAGAGCACTGGGGCTGTTGTTATGTGGGGTAGCCAGACACATGGCGGGTCTGGGGTCTGGCCCAACGAAGCCTTGGGGCACATTAATCAGGCCGCATCGGTGCCATCTTCTCATATATGATCCCGGCTGGACATCTAATACATCCGAGGCCGTTGTTGGATGGTAGAGCGATTCAAGAATCACAATGGGATCGGGAGACAAACGGGGCAGCGTCAGGGGACCTGTATGGATGAAGGGACGGGCACTCACTAACAGTGACAACAACATCCCGTTTCAGGGGACGTTAAAGACGTAAATATGACTTCACTCAGAGCATATCAACTACGTTACTGTAACACTTGCACAATCAACTATTAATTGGGTCAAATCACTTAAAGAAGGGCGAATTACAACACAGAGTGGAATGGCATACCTGTATGGATGAAGGGACGGGCACTCACTAACGGTAGAAATGCCCGCGGGGCCCTCACTCAAAACAGACCAGGGAGTCCACCTACTTCTATTCCGATGAATTAATTTACTGTACACTCTGACGTTGAAATTGAGACTATGAACTCATTTTCATTCTCTACTATTATCTTCACTAACAATGCTCTGACTCAGCTATCAAAAGCAAAATTAAATTGATTACAAAGGGTTGGATGGCAACAGGTCCCAACATACAGCGTCTGCTACTAAATCCGTGGATTATATTCCAAGTTCCCACTAAACAAAGACGGGGGAAACAGAGAAAACGGGGGATGTTTCCACTGGGAGACTCAGAAGGTTTTGTGGACGTTTGAGCGTAATATGAATCCTTAAGGTTTTCAGGTTAGCCGTCATCACGATCATTACAGTTGGTGTACTGTTCTTCCTCTATAATCTCACGTAAAAACGGAGGAAAATCCCTAGCCGCAACACGGTCAGCACTACCTTCTTCACCACCAATGTTAATGTTGGTGATCTTGTTCCTCTTCTTAAACCTCTGCAACCACCCAGAGGAAGCATTGAAGGGTTTGGGCTCTGCAATTCCCATCTTACGTGACACTGCTGCGTATAGTTCACGTGCGTACTCCTGAACTGAGCGCGTGTCCACCGCCATGTTCTGTCTTGCCTAATGAATCAAGTAGCTCACAAGTAATTTCTCCATCTTGAGAAGCACCTTGTTGTGGCAATACTTGATCATAGAAGCACCTGTAGACTTTGTGATGTTCATGTGTTCTTTTATCTTGGCTGCATCCTTCTTGATTGTCCGGATCGTAGATTCGTTCACACCATGCTGGCGCGCCAAATCAACCTGTCTTGTTCCTTTCTCCAACTCTTGGATGATCTTGTATTTAATTTCGTAGCTTAGGGCACGTCGTATCTTCTTTGGCTTAGGGCGGCTGGGTCCAGGTAATGCAAGGTTTCTTTGTGGTGATGGTGGTGGTCCGGTAGTAGCCATTCTTATGGAACAATAGATACCGATATACTGTACACGGTGTAGCTGGGAGGGGTGTAACTGACGCGGGTAGGTCAACGGGCTTCAACGCTCCCGCGGTGGGGAACGTCATATTACATTAAACCAATCACAGCTAGCGGGGAAGGGAGGTAAGGATGCTTGGCCCAATCACAGTCCGATACATCATATGACGTGACCGATAACGCAACAAAGACATACACTGCGCAACCTACTCGCGCCGCTTACCCAACATGGCGAGATGGCGGGAGGTTTGAATCCAAAAATGGCACGGCGCAAGATGACCGGCAGACGCTCTCCGCGTAAAAGAGTACATGCACCACGTAAAGTGAACATTTCGGGTCTGGCAGGGTACCACGTAAACGTGGAAACGCGTAAAAAAAACGCGTAAAGCGGGGTAATACTGTATATATATATACATGTGTATATATATATATATATATATATATATATATATATATATATATATATATATATATATATATATATATATATATATATATATATATATATATATATATATATATATATATAATATATATATATACAGTGACCCCTCGTTTAACGAACACCTCGGTTAACGTAATTTCGATTAACGAACTGCATTCCATAAGGATCTTCAATTCGGTTAACGAAAAAAAATTCGGTTAACGAAGTTCTTACGAACCGACCTCAACATGTTTTCGCTTGCACTGATCGGGCAACCAGCTTTAGTATCAGTCCGCCAATACATTAATCGGTTCTAGGGCTTAAATTCCTTACTATTTTAGTAAATATCAAGAAGTTTATACTACAGTGAGTTCTGCTATAACGCGTGTTTTGACAACGCGAATTTGCTCGAACGCGATTTATGAATTGAGGAACGATATTTGTAAAACGCGAACTCGTTTGCTCTAACGCGATTCCACTCGAACGGTTGTTGTGGCTTCAGTTCACGTTCGACATCACATGTTCAATTGAGTTATGTGTTTTGTTTGTGAACAATTGCAGAAATAATGTATGTAATATTTATGTATACAGTATACCTATATATTATAAGTAAATTGTAAAATTTTACATAAAAGAGAAAATCTAATTACATAGCGTTTTACACCCGCGCTCTCTCTACATCACACACAGTGTTTACAGTTCACGTTCGACATCACATATTCAATTGATTTATGTGTTTTGTTTGTGAAGAATTGCAGAAATAATTTATGTAATATTTATGTATACAGTAAACCACTCACAAGGTCCTACAGTACCACTAATTATTTTATACTGAAACTTACGTTTGGTAAGCTGGATTAAAATGAAGATTACCGGTATATTAAAATAATAAAAATGTATTATAAACCAGTCTAACATACCGTAATAAACACAGCTGCTATTATCATCCCCCCCTCCCCCATTTGCCAGTGACAAGAAAGGGAAAGTGACCTTGACTGTGACCACCTGTGGCTATTTTTAGCCGTCCTTGTGTTCGGAGGTGGTCAGTAATGCATATCTGTATATTTACTGATCATAATACTTATCTCTTATAAATAATTCATTTAAAATTTATTTTTTTGCAAAGAATATTCAGTAAATGACTGCATTAATTCTTGAAACTACCTACAGTGGTAAATTTAGGATATAAATAATGAACAGAAGTCACGTCATGGATTCGGAGTTTGGTCCTTAACGATCACCATAAATGTAGCCTCCCTTTTTCGCGAAACACGTATATAAATTAAAGAAAATACTTGCAGTATATTTAATATATTACAGTATATTATATATAAATAAATAAACAAATAAATTCAAATTCCTTATCATCCTGTGTCATATACAGAAATACTTGAGTCCCTGAGCGAGTACACAAAAAGAAAACGGACATCCTGGAGTGGATAGAGAACGGACATCTCTACTGGGGGACTCAAACGTTTCTCATGTTTTGTGGGCGCTCTAGCATAATATGAATAATATGTAAATTACAATTTATATATATATATATATATATATATATATATATATATATATATATATATATATATATATATATATATATATATATATATATATATATATATATATATATATATGTATGTATGTATGTATTGTAATTTATATATATATATATATCTTGATAAAATCACACGGGAAAATGGAAACAACGGAGTACCTTAGCTTTCGTCTTTATTCAAGACATCTTCAGAGGCAACTGGATTACATGGACAGAGAGAGGCTTAAATATACAGGGTGACCTAAAAACATGAGGTCAGGTCATAATGATGACATCCACTAATCCCCACAAATCATCTTGTGTCACAGAAAGACTTCTGGTTGAAGCTAGTTTGATTAAGGAATTAAAATCAATAAACCTTAGTGATGGTCAGTTCAAAACTGATAATATGTTACATAAATTTATTTGTCAGTGGCCCAAGGTTAAAAATGCTTTGAAAACCTTTGATCTAGATGTATGATAGTTATTTTGTGGGTCCCTTTTTTCTGACCTGACCTGGCTAGTCACGTCACCACCCTTCTCTTAAGCTCCTCTACGTGTGTGTTGGTGTGGGGATTAGTGGATGTCATCATTATGAGCTGACCTCATGTTTTTAGGTCACCCTGTATATTTAAGCCTCTCTCTGTCCATGTAATCCAGTTGCCTCTGAATAAAGACGAAAGCTAAGGTACTCCGTTGTTTCCATTTTCCCGTGTGATTTTATCAAGATTTATCTTATCCACGTTTTCATTGTGGATTTACATGAAATATATATATGTAAATCGTAAAAATTTAAATAAAAGAGAAAAACTAAATACGTAGCGTTTAAAGTGTTAAAGTGTACTGTACAGTGTTGTGGCTTGGCTCAATGTTTACAGTTCACGTTCGACATCACTTGTTCAATTGATTTATGTGTTTTGTTTGTGAAGAAATACCTGTACAGTATATGTAAATTGTAAAATTTTAAATAAGAGAGAAAAACAAAATAAGTAGCGTTTAAAGTGTACTGTACATTGTGGCTTGGTGCGGGGTTATGCAGTGTTTACAGTTCACGTTCGACATCACATGTTCAATTGATTTATGTGTTTTGTTTGTGAAGAATTGCAGAAATAATTTATGTAATATTTATGTATACAGTATACCTGTACAGTATATGTAAAATGTAAAATTTTAAATAAGAGAAAAACAAAATACATAGCGTTTTAGACCCGCGCGCTCTGTTTACTCCACACTTTGTTTGAAACACTTGTGAAGTTTTTAAGTGTCCTCAGTGAATTCTGATTACTGTTTCTCCAATTTTGTGACTATGGAAAAGAAGAATATCTCTGGGAAGCACTCTGGTGATCGCATTTCCGGTGGTGATTGTAAAAGAAAGGCTATAACACTTGAAGAAAAGCTTGATGTTTCATGACTCCTCAGCCTCAACATCACCCTTATCCCCCATCAAGTTATATTCATATTTTTTCAAGGTAAAGTGTAACATTTACTGTATGATTTCATTATTAGATATGAATGTAACATTTATTTAGACTGTGCTATCCTTTGTGTTAGGCTAACTACGAAATTTTTTTTCGATTTGGAGTAATCTGCACCTAACCCTATTTTCTCCATAAGCCCTGTTATTTCTATTACACGAATTTCTATAACACGATGTTTTACAAGAACACTACTATCGCGTTATAGCAGAACTACCTGTACAGTAAAAGTAATGACTAATGAGGAATGGATGCAGTACGGTGAAAGTAATAAATAATAAGGAATGGTTACAATGTGACAGCACTTACCTTTAATGTAGTCAGCTGAATGCACATGGGGCCCCCATAATTTTCTAATTATACATGGAGACTACATTAACTGGAAACGTTTCGGTATAGAAAATGCGTGTGTCATTTGAAAAAATCATAAAATCAAAAAAAAAATGCACAACTGCGCGGTCGTAAGTCCCGACGGTCGTAAGTCGAAGCAGTCGTAAGTCGGGGTATATATATATATATATATATATATATATATATATATATATATATATATATATATATATATATATAAAGTGGCATATATTGGGGGCCACTCGGCCATGGCTGCCCCCTTTTCTCTCCAGTACTACTACGCCTTCGTAACTTCTTTCCTTGAGTGATCACATTCTTCAGGGAATCAAACAAGCATTGAGCTCATTTGTAAAGATAACCGAGAGTTGTCCTTCTGACTCTCATAGTAGACTGAAAAAGCATTTCCCCAAAGTTGGGTTGAATCTCAACAGTTCACTCAAATCTTCAAAGCATTGTAAAAGCACTAGACGACTTCTCTGCAGCAAAGGACTCAAATTTGGTGGGAAAATCTCTAGCTGTCTTAAAGAGAATGACATCAGATTTCTTTCCTTGTAAGTATGGAGGTTTTATCAGCTATTTTAAATGTTACGAGACCTCTATCTTGGAAATTGCAAGGTGTTGAGATGGATCTGGTACAAGCTTTTGACAGTGTGAAGGACTGCATGGATGTGTTTTAAATGTACAGAAATGATGATACATTCAGAAGATTATTTGAGAATGCAGAACAAAACTATCAGACATGGGAGAGAGAGAGAGCGAGAGAGATGTGCAAGTGACAAGAAGATGCACATATTGCTCTTTTCATCTTGTTGATCCCTCACCCCTAGCACCGTCTACCCCTTCTCCACTACCTTTCCCCGATCCGTCTTTGGGTAGAAGAATAGGTCAGATGGACGGAATGGGAAGGCATAAATAGATTATATTATGATGCTTAAATCTGGCGTCAGTAACCTTGAGAGCCACAGGTTTTGTTATCCAAGTGTCTCTTTGATGTGTGTGTATGTGTGGTAAAATATTTATATACTGTACAGCATCACATAAATACTTATACAGGTATAGATACAGGTGTATTATAAACTTCCCAAGCTCTACAAATCCACAATATCTGCATCTTCCAGATGCGGATGTGAAATTTTTGTGGATGCAGTATGGATGGATGCAGATGCAACATCCATCTCTCATATAGACACTAAAGAGTATAGAAAAGTCATTTCTTGTCATTTAAGGTTAGTATACATTATCATTGTCAAATACATGGCAGTCATGGCACCTAGTGTGAGCTGTTTCAAGACCAGACTTGACCAACACTGGAGCAGGTTCAGATACATTTAGGAGCCAGTGCATGCCCAGTACTTGCCAACAGTGCATAACAAAGACGTGATCGACCGCCCAAGTGGTTAACGAGCTAATCCGTGGCAAAGAGGATAAAAGTAAAAGTATGATTGCGAAATATTGGGTATCAAATGTCTAAGAAGCAAGCCATAAAGAGGATGTTTAAGTTACCTGGTCATGATACAGTGGGGATATCTAAGGAACCAAAGTATGAAATTTGGATGCATAAGTTACCCTGACTTACTTTTACTTTTATCCTCTTCACCACTGATCGGCTCGTTAGCCGTTTGGGCGTTCGGTCATGTCTCTGTCACGCACTGTTGGCAAGTACTAGTCATGTACTGGCTCTATTACGCACTGTTGGCAGGTACTGGGCATGCACCGGCCCCTAAATGTACCTGAACCTGCTCCACTGTTGGTCAAGTTTGGTCTTGAAAAAACTCACACTCGGTGCCGTCACAACACTTTCGGGCAGATTGTTCCAAGAGTTCACAACTCTCACTCCGAAAAAGTTTGTCCTCAAAGACGGAGGAAACATAAAAGTTATCTAGGCAGATACAGTAGGGGATTCAAAATTTTCTCAACATAATATATAAGGTGACCATCACTCACCTTAAGCCTGAAACAGACAAGACCAAGGGTGACAGGGAGGATGAGCTCAAAGCGCTGGTCAGCCTTCACATAGTCCTCAAATTGGTGTGCCAAACCAATCTGAAATATCCACACAATCAATCACTCCTTAAAAGACTTCCTGTCAGAGAAGTGAATCCAAACCATGACTTCACCAAACATCAAACATAAAAAGCTATGTGTGGATAAACGATGACATTCATCACAATGAAAAGCTTTTAATATGTGGATGAAACATAAGTCTGCCCAATAGATCTGTGACTTGTACCAACTACAGTACATTATTTTTGTTTCATGTGGCTGAATGACTCACTGCATGTCAGTTGGGCCTTAACCCCTTGTGTAAGAGGGTCTTTCTTTGCAGAATAAAACTGCCGGCATTAGCCAAATAAGATGTACCAAAGTGGCATCCTTGTAGTGAAGGGGTTAGTAGAGATAGTTTATTTATATGGTTGCTGCCTACCATTCCTTGTTCACTTAACTTATCCTCATACAAGTGCTACAACCACATAATCACACAGCTTCAACACTCCACTTTGTTGCAATAAAGTAATGGAGTTTCATTACTAGAACTGGAAATCTCAATTATGTTACCATACTAAATCCATTAAGTGAGGCAGCCCTTACCTACCTCTGCCACATAAACATGCTGTATCTAAAGTCCAATCTGAAACTCTGTCTATATTCCACTTTGACGCAAGAGAAATCCATAATGGGAAAAGGGAAGAAGTGTATTGTACTGTACCTGCTTTCTGATGTGTGCTTGGAATCCCTGTTTGCCATACAGTCTCATTACAAACCACAGCTTGAGAGAGCGGAAGCGGCGACCCAGTGGGATCTGCCAGTGCTGTGGTGAGAGAGGGGACTGGTCAGGCTAGTTGTTGTTGTGATATGTTAGTAACATTAATCAATCACTTCTGTAGTGGGAGAGGGAGACTGGTCAGGTTAGTTGCCAATGTGTTGCATTAATGAAAAATGTGAACTCTTGGAATAACCTACCACAGTCTCCACAGTGTTGTGATGGCACTGAGTGTAAATTCATTTAAGACCAGACTTGACTAATACTGGCACAAGTTCACTTACATTTTCAAGTCAGTGTATGCCCAATACAGTACTTGCCAGTATGTAACAGAGACCTGACTAACTGTCTAAGCCAGGGGTCACCAAACTACGGCCCGCGGGCCGGATCCCAAGTCCTTCCCCGGCTCGTGGTAGCTCCGCCTATTCTCTGATGTTACCAGAGCTTTCGTTCTGGCTTGCAAGTATTGAACAGAACGATTATGCGGCCCGCGCTCGTCATTCTTTCAGTTATCCGGCCCACTGTGAAAAAAGTTTGGTGACCCCTGGTCTAAGCGAAGAGGATAAAGTAAAGTAATATTGAGTAAAGTAGTGAAGATGGTCTGTCAGTTCTGTGGTGAGATGAAAGTGGGTGAGGTCTCAATTCTGCTGGTGTAAGGGTCAGCATGCTCGCCTCGCAAGCGAGTGGACCCGGGTTCAATCCCCAGAAAGGGTAAAACTATGGGCGAGTTTCTAAATGCCATTTGCCTCTGTCTACCCAGCAGCAATTGGGGTCCTGGATGTTAATCGATTTGCGGATCATGTTCCGGGGTAATGGTTAGCCTGTGTTGTTGGCGAGTTGTCCAGTCTTCTTGGACTGCTCGACACTGGGTCGTGCAACTTGTTAACTTAGGGTGTGGTTGTTGTGTTGGCAACAGCTTCTACACCTTTAATAAATTCACACTTAGGTGGCCCTAGGGCCGGCCATCCTCGATTTCGAGGGGCATCCATTATTATTATACATTATTTGTAATACAGTTTCTCCTCGACTTACGACAACCCGGACAAACGACGGCCATGGTCGTATAAAATATTTTTCATATTACGTATTTTCGAGTCCCGACATTAGTGATCGCGCTGTGTACTGACAAAATTTTCGTTTGTAATTCCCTTTAAAATGGTTGGCAAGTGTTAAAGTGAGAGTTCTCGTGGTGCTGAGAAGAAAAAGAGACACCCATTTTAGAATTTCTATGTACTGTACTGTATTATTTTCGCCTTTTCGATTTACGACCAATTCGACTTACGACCTGGTCGTTGGGACGGAACCCCGTCGTAAGTCGAGGAGAGACTGTACAATGAAAAAGAAAACAATTGTAAGTTATTTTACAGTGTGTAAATACTGTATATGAGTATTTAATTTTGTACATCATTATATTCAAAACGAAAATGAAAGAATGTCATTAAGGCTGTGTGAACAATAATGTAATAATTTTCTTCATTGGGGAGAGATAGAGCAAAGAGACAAAAATATTATCAACCTCAACATAAGAGAAAAAGGGTTATTGATTTCATTGTGTAGGAGTGGCACTTGAGGCTACTGATAGATAAGATAACACCTGAGTCTACTGACCTAAAACATCTGAAGCTACTGACCCAGAACACAACTGAGACAAAATTTTCGAATACAGTATTTGTACAGAGACTCTAGAGACTCTGAACCGGTTACATACTCCTAATGAAGTGAGGAGGCAATGGAGAAAAGGAGAATAAGCCCTGCCCCCTCAGTATCACACTAAAGAATGAGAACAAAAGTGGAATCTCATTTGGCAAGCAAAAAACGTAACAGGGAACATAACATTGAACATTTCAGACCATATACATAAGCCTGGACAGTACAGGCTGCTGACCTATAACACAACCCCTGAGGCTACTGACCTATAACACAACCCCTGAGGCTACTGACTGCAACACGCTGCAGTGTTTCTGAACCTGCCCACAACCCCTGAGGCTACTGACCTGTAACACAACCCCTGAGGCTGCACGGCCTGCAACACAGCCCCTGAGGCTACTGACCTGCCTTTGCCTAACCCCTGAGGCTACTGACCTGCCCACAACTGGGCTACGGCCTATAACACAACCCCTGAGGCTACTGACCTATAACACAACCCCTGAGGCTACTGACCTATAACACAACCCCTGAGGCTACTGACCTATAACACAACCCCTGAGGCTACTGACCTATAACACAACCCCTGAGGCTACTGACCTATAACACAACCCCTGAGGCTACTGACCTATAACACAACCTGAGGCTACTGACCTACACAACCCCTGAGGCTACTGAGCCTATAACACAACCCCTGAGGCTACTGACCTATAACACAACCCTGAGGCTACTGACCTATAACACAACCCCTGAGGCACGCCTTACCCCTGAGGCTGACCTATAACACAACCCCTGAGGCTACTGACCTATAACACAACCCCTGAGGCTACTGACCTATAACACAACCCTGGGGCTACTGACCTATACAACACAGGCTGCTCCAACCCCTGGCTACTGACCTTAACACCCCTGAGGCTACTGACCTATAACACAACCCCTGAGGCTACTGACCTATAACACAACCCTGAGGCTGCTGACCTATAACACAACCCCTAGGCTACTGACCTGTATAACCCCTGAGGCTACTGACCTATAACACAACCCCTGAGGCTACTGACCTATAACACAACCCTGAGGCTACTGACCTATAACACAACCCCTAGGCTACTGACCTATAACACAACCCCTGAGGCTACTGACCTATAACACAACCCCTGAGGCTACTGACCTATAACACAACCCCTGAGGCCTGCCTATAACCACCCTGGGGCTACTGACCTATAACACAACCCTGAGGCTACTGACCTATAACACAACCCCTGAGGCTACTGACCTATAACACAACCCTGAGGCTACTGACCTATAACACAACCCCTGAGGCTACTGACTATAACACAATCCCCTGAGGCTACTGACCTATAACACAACCCCTGAGGCTACTGACCTATAACACCCTGAGGCTACTGACCTATAACACAACCCTGAGGCTACTGACCTATAACACAACCCCTGAGGCTACTGACCTATAACACAACCCCTGAGGCTACTGACCTATAACACAACCCCTGAAGCTACTGATCTATAACACAACCCCAGGGCTACTGACCTGTAACACAACCCCTGAGGCTACTGACCTATAACACAACCCTGAGGCTACTGACCTGCTTACAACCCCAGGCTGCTGACCCTGTAACCCCTGAGCTCTGCCTATAACACAACCCCTGAGGCTACTGACCTATAACACAACCTTACTGTCCTGAGGCTGCTGACCTATAACACCCTGAGGCTACTGCCTATAACACCCTGAGGCTACTGACCTTAACACCCCTGAGGCTGCTGACCTATAACACAACCCCTGAGGCTACTGACCTATAACACAAACCCTGAACTGACCTGTACACAACCCCTGAGGCTACTGACCTACAACACAACCTGAGCTGCTGACCTATAGCTCTGACCTATCAACCCCTGAGGCTACTGCCTATAACACAACCCCTGAGGCTACTGACCTATAACACAACCCCTGAGGCTACTGACCTATAACAACCCCTGAGGCTACTGACCTATAACACAACCCCTGAGGCTGCTGACCTATAACACAAACCCTGAGGCTGCTGACCTGCTTGCCCAAACCCCTGAGGCTACTGACCTATAACACAACCCCTGAGGCTACTGACCTATAACACAACCCCTGAGGCCTGACCTATAACCCCTGAGGCTGACCTATAACACAACCCCTGAGGCTGCTGACTGGGCTGCTGACCTATAACACAACCCCTGAGGCTACTCCTATAACACAACCCCTGAGGCTACTGACCTATAACACAACCCCTGAGGCTGCTGACCTACCGCTCTTAACCCCTGGGCTCACCTATAACACAACCCCTGAGGCTACTGACCTATAACACAACCCCTGAGGCTGCTGACCTATAACACAACCCCTGAGGCTGCTGACCTATAACACAACCCCTGAGGCTGCTGACCTATAACACAACCCCTGAGGCTACTGACCTATAACACAACCCCTGAGGCTACTGACCTATAACACAACCCCTGAGGCTACTGACCTATAACACAACCCCTGAGGCTACTGACCTATCACAACCCCTGAGGCTACTGACCTATAACACAACCCCTGAGGCTATGTGACCTATAACACAACCCCTGAGGCTATGTGACCTATACACAACCCCTGAGGCTATTGACCTGCACACAACCCTGAGGCTACTGACCTAGAACACAACCCCTGAGGCTGCTGACCTATAACACAACCCCTGAGGCTACTGACCTATAACACAACCCCTGAGGCTACTGACCTATAACACAACCCCTGAGGCTATGTGACCTATAACACAACCCCTGAGGCTACTGACCTAAACACAACCCTGAGGCTATGCCTATAACACAATCCCTGAGGCTATGTGACCTATAACACAATCCCTGAGGCTATGTGACCTATAACACATCCCCTGAGGCTACTGATCAATAACACCTGAGGCTACTGACCCTGTAGTCTGGTGCCAGGCCCTGTTTGTCATGTTTCAGGTACAGAGGGTCAACATTGAAGGCATCCACAAGATCATTGGCATTCTTTACCCTGAAAAATATACAGTACTGTAAATTATATACATGTATATATGAAGATATTGATTATTTTTGTTCAATGCAGAATGTGACGCTTAGCTTTTAACCTAGGTATGTTAATGCCTAGCAATAATTCGCCAGACCAACATACAGGCAATTAAAACATCTAATAATTACTTAATAAGTAATATTAGGAGGACACGTCGCTACCTGGCATTTAATTGCAATTGTCAGAACCCCCCCCTCGTCCCCCATCGCACGCACTGCCACCTTTATCTCTTGCCTAGCGATTCAGCAATGATGATGATGGTCTTATATACAGGTACAGTAGTGTAAAAAATTCAGGTATCTAATTAGGTAGCAGTGACGTCATCAGAGGTAAGATTATTGCCAGATGCAACAGACAGTATTAAAATTGTCATATTTCATAATTTTTAATTGATTTATTATGCCAAAACTATACCATATTTGTTTTTCTATGTTTTCTCATTCATGTTATGGGATGGACCAACAATAACAATGACAAACTATGAGTAGAGTTGCCCTTTCAGGCTTTGGCACATGGACGTCTGATCTCTCGTGAAGCCTTAAATCTATATACTGTACTGTACTGTACCATTAAGTTTGCAACCCATTAATATTATTCTGCTGTTAATTTGTCCTTCAATCCATTAGTTCTATAATCCATTGACCCTATATGCCATTTATCCATCAATCAAGAATTCCTAGTTATCCCCCCTAATTTACCAACCCTTCCATCCATCAACTCTTCAGTGGTTCACTCACCACATGGCAGAACAGTCAAAGGTGACGAGTAGCCACTTGTGAGGGTTGAAGTTGAAGCTCTGGGCCAACTCTACCCCATCCATCAGGTAGCGGTACTCCTCACACACCATCGCTGCCCCTGATATATCAAGGGTGTGAGTTAAGGGCAGATCAAAGGTGTGAGTTAAGGGCAGATCAAGGGTGTGAGTTAAGGGCAGATCAAGGGTGTGAGTTAAGGGCAGATCAAAGGTGTGAGTTAAGGGCAGATCAAGGGTGTGAGTGGGGCAGCTCAAAGGTGTGAGTTAAGGGCAGATCAAGGGTGTGAGTTAAGGGCAGCTCAAAGGTGTGAGTTAAGGGCAGATCAAGGGTGTGAGTTAAGGGCAGATCAAGGGTGTGAGTTAAGGGCAGCTCAAAGGTGTGAGTTAAGGGCAGATCAAGGGTGTGAGTTAAGGGCAGATCAAGGGTGTGAGTAGATGACAGATACTTGAGTAGATGACAGATACTTGAGTGGATGACAGATACTTGAGTAGATGACAGATACTTGAGTAGATGACAGATACTTGAGTAGATGAGAGGAACTTGAGTAGATGACAGATACTTGAGTAGATGACAGATACTTGAGTAGATGACAGATACTTGAGTAGATGACAGATACTTGAGTAGATGAGAGGAACTTGAGTAGATGACAGATACTTGAGTGGATGACAGATACTTGAGTAGATGAGAGGGACTTGAGTAAATGACAGGGACTTGAGTAAATGACAGGGACTTGAGTAGATGACAGATTGAGTAGATGACAGATACTTGAGTAGATGACAGATACTTGAGTAGATGACAGATACTTGAGTAGATGACAGATACTTGAGTAGATGACAGATACTTGAGTAGATGAGAGGGACTTGAGTAAATGACAGGGACTTGAGTAAATGACAGGGACTTGAGTAAATGACATGGATGTACATAAATGAGAGGGACTTGAGTAGATGAGAGGGACTTGAGTAGGTGACATGGACTTGAGTATATGAAAGGGACGTGAGTAAATGAGAGGGACTTGAGTAGATGAGAGGGACTTGAGTAGATCACATACCAGCATAAGCAGCGTCCACATGCAGCCACAGATCAAACTCTTGAGTGACCTCCCCCAACTCCCGCAAGTTGTCGAAAGAACAGACAGAAGTGGCCCTGCGTTCCCACCACCTGTGTCATGGTGATGGTGGCAGTAATAGTGGTGATATTTGCCGTAAACCTTCCTGACGTGTGTGTGTATGTGTGTGTGTCCAGCGGTAGCACATGCTTTCAGAGAGCATCTCGAACATGGGCTGATAAACAACCTGACAACAAATAACCCAAATCCCAGTGCCGAATGGGAAATTCTGGACACCTTCGTGACAAAAACCTGCAGAGAGACCCTTGGCCAGATCGAAAGAATACACCAGGACTGGTTTGATGAAAATGACCTGGCAATCAATGTACTCGTCGATGATAAACGTGCTGCTTTAACTGACTGGCAGAACAACCCCCAATCTCGGACTAAACCCGATACCTTCCCCAAGAAGAAAGTGGCGGCCCAACGGGAACTTCGCAATCTAAAGAACGAATGGTTTAAAAATAAAGCATATGAAACACAAAAATTTCCAAATCAGCACAAGATGCGGGAACTTTTCAATTCCACTAAAACATTTTATGGGCCAATCACTCGTGGCGCAGCCCCCCTCCGCTCATCCGACGGTAACTCCATAATTAAAGACAATGAAGGCCTCCTTCAGCGCTGGAAAGAGGACTACCATTCACTGCACAGCCGAAACACTGATGTGGATGTCCTGACTACCCAGCAGGTCCCTCAGCATCCAGAGCTGACCCACCTCAGCTATCCTCCATCCCTGGATGAGGTATCTAATGCCATCAAACAGATGAAAAATAACAAAGCTTCAGGGAATGATGGAATCCCAGCAGAGGTGCATAAAGCAGGAGGATCTCTGCTTACCAGCCGTCTCCACTCTCTCCTGGAGAATATGGGAAAAGGAGGAAATCCCCTAAGCTCTTAAAGATGCCTCCATCGTCAATATTTATAAGAAGAAGGGAGACCGGTCAGACTGCGGCAACTACCGCAGGATCTCGCTGCTGTCCGTAGCTGGCAAGATTATCACTCGAGTCCTCCTAAACAGACTTTTCCCGAGGCGTAAGACTTCCTCCCAGAAGCTCAATGTGGCTTTAGACCATCATGGGCACCACTGATCTTTGCTGCCCGACAGATACAGGAAAAGTGAAGAGAACACCGTCATGACCTGAACATGGCTTTCATCGACCTAACCAAGGCCTTTGACTTGGTCAACAGGGAAGCCCTCTGGTGGACCCTCAGCCGTTTTGGCTGCCCACCAAAATTCATTGCCATTGTGAGGCAACTCCACGATGGCATGAACGGCAGTGTCCTGCACAATGGCACCCAGTCTGAGTTCTTCCCCATCCAAACGGGGATTAAACAAGGGTGTGTACTGGCACCAACTCTCTTTTCCATTTTCTTGGCCGCCTTCCTTACTTGTGCCAGCGCCAATTTAGCCGGTCGGGTGGACATCGAGTACCAGATGAAGGGTCTTTTCAACATAAGACGACTCCAGGCAGGAACAAAGGTGTCGACAGCTTCCATTACTGAGCCTCAGTATGCATTCGACCTCACCCTTATTGCTCTCACTGAACACCTATGCAGAAGCGTATGCACACTTCGGCCTTGAGGTAAATGCACATAAGACTCAGATTCTCTTTCAGCCTGCCCCTGGTTCAGCCACACCTCCACCATCCATCCAGCTTAACGGTACTACCCTCTCTAATGATACCCACTTTCGGTATCTCGGCTTCACCTGTCCACCACTGCAGACATTGATGACGAGATTCAGCACCGGATCAGATGTGCATCTCAAGCCTTTGGCAGACTCCAAAACCGTGTCTTCAGCTGTAGGGAGCTGAGATTATCTACAAATTTACACGTATATCGAGCAGTAGTCCTCCCCACCTTGCTATATGGCAGTGAGACATGGGTCACATACAGGAGGTACCCCAAGGCACTTGAAAACTTTCACCAACGTAGTCTACGCTCCATCCTCCGAGTTCGCTGGGAAGACAAGAGAATAAATTCCAATATTCTTGCTGACACCAACTGAAGAAGCATCGAGGCTACCATTATCCATGAACAACTATGCTGGACTGGCCACGTTACCCACATGGACGACAGTAAGGCTGGCGGGCAATTGATAATGTATAAGGATAGTCTTAAGACAAACATGAAAAAGTGCCAAATCGACCCTCTCACCTGGGAGACGATTACTCCACACCGTAATGCTTGGAGGATCACCACACAAGACGATGTCAATACTTTCGAGTTAGCCCGACTGCAAAACGAGGCAGACAAGCGCCAACGCCTAAAAGATGCTGCCACCGCCCCTCCCGCACTCGATGAAGCTCCCACATGTGCAACATCTGTGATCGACATTGCCGGTCCCGTATCGGCCTCTTTAGTCACCTCAGAACTCACCAACCTAAGTGACATCCTTAATAACTCATACCATTGTAACAGCTGGATGATCGTCATACTCAATTCCGAGTGACAGCAAAGTAGTAAGTAGTAATAATAATAATAATAATAATTAACGGTTTATTGAAAGAGCTTGGCAGCCAGAAGGCTGAAAATATACAGTTACATATTTGGGGAATGGGTTACGAATTACAAATAATATACAAGTAACATAAGTGACACAAATAAGACATATAATAACTAGATGGGGAAAAGCTCAAACTACAGTTCATTTCCAACATAGTGACAGTGCAGAGGAGTAGCAGAGTGTTTGCACAGGAGTGGAGCGCTGGTTTATACAAGTTATTGATAATTTTTACAATGGTTGGGACTGGGCTGTTCTTACCAGCGATCAGTTCGTGCACGTATGGGCTGGATGCGGTTGTGGTGTCGAACAGCAATTCTCGGGTGAGGAATCTCAGGTGGTTGTAGGAGCCGGTGTCGAGGATTGTGCAGAAGCTTCTCACCAAATTTGCAAATGAGGTCGTCGTGATGGTCAGTGAGAGCCGAGAGGGTCAGTGTGTTGAGCGCTTCTTGATATGTGGAGTAGGAAGGGAAGAGAATAATCTTGCATGCCCTCTTTTGCACTTTTTCTAGGTGTTTATGTTGTGTGGCATTTAGGGAGGAAGACCAGGTAGGGGAGGCATAGGTGAGCTTAAGTAAGGAATGTTGTGTAAACACTGGAGGAGCTCTGTGTGTGTGAACCCGAGGACTTGAGTCGGCGGAGGGAGGTGGAGACGGAAACCGGGAGGATTTGATAACTTCACCGACGTGTGGTCAATTTAGTTTGTTGTCTATGGTGACGCCGAGGAGCTTCGTGGAATCTACAACCTGGAGTGTGTTCGGACCCAGAGTAATGGAAGGAGGTGGGACAATGTCGGAGGAGAGGTTGATGTGCATAACCATGGTCTTGGTATGGTTGATGGTGACATGGTTGTTGGTGGCCCAGTTTTGGAGACTGTTCAATAAATCCTGAAGGGCGGTATAGTTGGGAGCAGAATTGTTGACGCTGATCCCAATGGTGGAGTCGTCGACATATTTCCAGCGAGCAGGGTTTCTCTTAGGGCATCATTGATGAGCATAAGGAAGCAGAGTGGTCCCATCTTGGTGCCTTGGGGGACGCCACAGGTGAGTGACTGAGAGGTGGGAGACAGCCCCTGGAAGCGTACAGCTTGGCGTCGGTCACTGGAGGAAGTCTGTAAGCCATGGTATAAGACTTCCGGAAGCCCGAGGTCAATAGCTATTGATGATTATATTGTGAAATGACTAGGGGTCGAACGCTTCTTTAGTGAAATCAATGAAGGCGACAGTTACAGACGTTTTTTTCCTCGAGATGGCGGTATATGTAATCGAGAAAGCTGACAAGACAGTGAGTGGTGGAGGAAGTTTTCATGTTGCCAAATTGCTGAAGGTCTACGACTCCTGCAATATCAGCATAAGCCCAGTCGAACACAAAACTTTCACAGATTAGGCTGGGTATTGGGGTGATTGCAATAGGTCGTAGCTGATTTAAGGATTGTGGGCTGGTTGACTTGGGCACTGGTGATACATAAGAGGTCTTCCAGTCAGCTGGGCATCTGGCTTGACTGAGAGAAGCATTGATGATGGAGCATAGGGGTTTAGCAAGCTCCTGGGAGAACTCCTTGAAGAGTTTCATTGGTAAGTCAATGGGGGTGGTAGAGCGTTTTAATTTTAGTTTGTCCAAGCGTTTTGCTACTTCAAATTCTTCTACTAAGTCAGTGGGAAGGGGGGCTGGTAGGTAAGCAGGGAGAGTGGTTGTGTCAAGCCCGGGGAGCGTCTGGCATATAGTAGCGAAATGGTTGTTTGTTTGTTCAGCTGCGTCAACATTAGTGAGATGGCTAAGGAAGGGGAGGGGGTGTGTCTTATTGTTTAGTCCACAGAGTTCTTTAAGCTTATCATACCATTGACTGATGTTGGTCTGCTTCAGGTGTTGTAATTTGGTTGGGTAGTGGGACTTCTTTGCAGTGCGTATTTCGCGGATGACTCGGTTGCGAAGGGACCTGTAGCGGATGTGGTCATTGAGATGAAAGGCTCTGTCTCTCTGTTGCATAAGTCTTTTGATCCGAGGTGTGATCCAGGGCAAGTCAGCTGGGTGAGATCTGACGGACTTCTCGGGGAAGAAGTGGTGGTGAGCTTCCGTGGTGGTGTTGGTATAATTTATCCATTTGGTTTCCACGTCATCCACGCTAAGTATCACCAGTGCCCAAGTCAACCAGCCCACAATCCTTAAATCAGCTACGACCTATTGCAATCACCCCAATACCCAGCCTAATCTGTGAAAGTTTTGTGTTCGACTGGGCTTATGCTGATATTGCAGGAGTCGTAGACCCTCAGCAATTTGGTAACATGAAAACTTCCTCCACCACTCACTGTCTTGTCAGCTTTCTCGATTACATATACCGCCATCTCGAGAAACGAAAAACGTCTGTAGCTGTCGCCTTCATTGATTTCCCTTCAGACGGCCTGATCGCCACAATATAATCATCAACCAGCTAACCCGACCTCAGGCTTCGGAAGTCTTATACCATAGCCCCACAGACTTCCTCAGTGACCGACGCCAAGCTGCTTATGCTTCCGAGGCTGTCTCCACCTTTCAGTCACTCACCTGTGGCGTCCCCAAGGCTTCCAAGATGGGACCCTCTCTTCCTTATGCGCCATCAATGATGCCTAAGAAACCTGCTCGCTGGAAATATGTCGACGACTCCACCATTGGGATCAGCGTCAACAATTCTGCTCCCAACTATACCGCCCTTCAAGTTTATTAGACAGTCTCCAAAACTGGGCCCTGTAACCATGTCATCAGCATGCAAGACCTGGTTATGCATCAACCTCCTCCTCGACATTGTCAACACCTCCTTCCATTACTCTAGGTCCCAACACCTCCAGGTTATATAGATTCCACAGCTCTCGGCGTCACCATAGACAACAAACTAAATTGGAAACCACACGTCAGTGAAGTTGTCAAATCCTCCAGTTTCCGTCTCCACCTCCTCCGCCGACTCAAGTCCCTCGGAGTTCCTGCACCCAAGCTCCTCAGTGTTTACACAACATTCATACTTCCTCAAGCCCACCTATGCCTCCCCCACCTGGTCTTCCTCCCTAAATGCCACACAACGTAAACACCTAGAAAAAGTGCAAAAGAGGGCATGCAAGATTATTCTCTCCCCTTCCTACTCCACATATCAAGAAGCGCTCAACACACTGACCCTTTCGACTCTCACTGACCATCACCACGACCTCATCTGCAAATTTGGTAAGAAGCTTCTACACCATCCCGACACCGGCTCCTACTACCACCTGAGATCCCTTGTCCGAGAATTGCTGTTCGACACCACAACCGCATCCAGCCCATACGTGCACGAACTGATCGCTATAAGAACAGCCCAGTCCCAACCATTGTAAAAATTATCAATAACTTGTAATAAATCAGTGTACTCACTCCCAGTAAACAACTGCTCCTTACACTGTCACTATGTTGAAATGAACTGTAGTTTGAGCTTTTCCCCATCTAGTTATTATATGTCTTATTTGTGTCACTTATGTTACTTGTATATTATTTGTAATTCGTAACCCATTCCCCAAATATGTAACTGTATATTTTCAGCCTTCTGGCTGCCAAGCTCTTTCAATAAACCGTTAATTATTATTATTATTATTTAAGTACTTCAGTCCAGGGATGGTGAACTATCCACTGCCCGAAGAGGCGCACTGCAGAGTCAGTAATCGGCCTGTAGGCCTTGATGTGTGTGTGTGTGTGTGTGTGTGTGTGTGTGTGTGTGTGTGTGTAATAATAATAATAATAATTAACGGTTGATTGAGAAAGTTCAGCAGCCCGAAGGCTGAAAATATACATTAGACCAAAATTACTTATTACATACAAAGACATGTGGTGGGTGGGTCGTTTACCAAAAGCTTTTATTACTGAAAGGAGAAGGAACAATTATTGAACATAGAAATTATGATAGTTTACAGTTGATGGCCCGGGCCTGGGCTGGTCATGGAGACACCAAGTGGTGTGGTGTTCATGTGGTGTAGTAACTCGTCCTCGGGTGTTGATATGAAGGACCTCACGTGGTCATGGGGACACCAGGTAGTGTGGTGTTCACGTGGTGTAGTAACTCGTCCTCGGGTGTTGATATTAAGGCCCTCACGTGGTCATGGAGACACTGGGTGGTGTGGTGTTCACGTGGTGCAGTAACTCGTCCTCGGGTAATGGTGTCAGTATGATAATGGTGGTGGTGTCTGATGATAACGATGGTACGGTAATGGTGTCACCGTGTCAGTGATAATAATGGTGATTGTGGTGTCAGTAGTAGTAATGGTAGTAGTGGTGTCAGTGGTAGTAATGGTGGTAGTGACGCCAGTGGTATTACGGTAGGACGGATCTCTCCCAATTAATCCGGACCTTTATAATCTGTTATATCACCGTTGCCAACTCAAGGCTACTCAGTGTATCTCAAGTGGTTAAATTTAAGGCGCGTAAAAACCTTCCCAGATAAAGATTGTTTTCAATTCGCGATTAAGAATAAGTGAATTGTCAGGGTATGATATTTGAGTGACGTTATCATGTCCATTGAACGAGTAATCACTGGTGATATTGACTGGATCTGGTATCACTGGTTAAATCAATACAGAAGAGCCAGGCTCCACAGATGGCTGCCTCGATCTGGGAAAACTGTGCGGCGGAGAGATGAGGGGAGACGGCGGAGATGAAAGTTTTCAAAAGTTTCCCTCCTAGGATGTACAGTACAAAAGATGTAACTTACATTCGTACGAAAATGAATAAAAAAATAAACATTCAAAGTTATGTAAGTAAGGCCTCTTATAAGTACTGTATATCATTACATCCCTATCTTACTCGACGTTCGGGCGGTCGGTGTGTTCTTTGTTGTGACCTTTATTGTCCAGTGTTAGTACAGGAGGAAACCCGCCATGTTTGGTGGGGTCACATTGGATACCACCCTTCTTACGTCCGTCCTAGGTCACGACTCCTACCTAGGACATTTCGGTGAGACATGAGCATTACCGTCATGTCAAACGTTACAGGTCAAATATTCCTTAGTCCTAACAACAGGCCCACAATCTAACCTACCTTAAATGAGAGCTAAATTCGTGTTTGGACTGCGTATATAATATGGCGAGTCAGTCACCACAATATGACTGAAGAGTGACGCAGTTTTACAAGTCTTTAAAGAACGCGCGCTCACACACACACACACACACACAGCATAACGGTGAAAGATATTCTGCGAATTTGTGCCTCTGTGAAGTTCAATTTCGCTTCGGGATTCAGTTTCGTAAATATTCATCTGTTTAACTCTTGAGGTGAGAATAAATAAAACTGCCTGACTTAAGTTACATAAAAAATCTTTTAGCCCAAACTATAAAATTGTCTGAAAACTGGATAAATGTCAACGAATTAAGCACCCCCCCCCCCTTCAAGTTCAGAAACAAACTGGATTCTTAAGGGTTCACACTTTAATTTTCCCCCTAAATGATGGAAGAACTTGTATAAAATAGTTCAATATGGCAATAATACAAAGATAGTGGCAGAAATGAAGTCGAAACTGAGTTGAGACTTACAAAGAATGGAATGAGGCCCAGCTTCAAATCCTGCTGGATGGCGTGGCGTAGAGCTGGGCCGCGCATAGCAAACTCGTCATTTGAGACCACTTGCCGCATCTTAACTCCTGCCAGCAATCCGGCCCTCTCCACTGATGAGTGAGCCTGGTCTGTGTGAGAGAGAGTGAGCTTAGTCTGTGAGCGAGAAAGTGAACCTGGTCTGTGAGAGAAAGTGAGCCTGGTCTGTGAGAGAGGGTGAATCTGGTCTATAATAAAGTGAGTCTGGTCTGTGAGAGAAAGAGAGAGAGCCTGGTCTGTGTGAGAGAGGGTGAGTCTGGTCTATAATAAAGTGAGCCTGGTCTGAGAGAGAGAGAGAGGTCTGTGTGTGTAATAATTAACGGTTTATTGAAAAAATTCTGCAGCCCGAAGGCTGAAAATATACATTGGACATAAATGACTTATTACATACATTGGTGGTTTAACAAAAGCCTTCATTAGAGAAAGGTAAAAGAACATACAGTGAACATACAGATTAATGTAGGTGTTCAACAGCAAACTCGTAGTGTAGTAACTCCCTCCCAGATGGTGTTAGGAGGAACTCACGTGGTGTAGTAGTTCCCTCACAGATGGTGTTATGAGGGGCCTGACGTGGTGTAGTAATTCCCTCACAGATGGTGTTATGAGGGACCTCACGTGGTGTAGTAATTCCCTCACAGATGGTGTGATGAGGGACTTGACGTGGTGTAGTAATTCCCTTACGTATGGTGTTATGAGGGACATGTGTTGTAGTAATTCCCTCACAGATGGTGTTATATGAGTGAGGTGTGGTCCCAGGCCTTCCTATCGTAGACGGATTAACACATCGCCGGTTGTTGTTGGGTCTCACGGGCCGTTAATCACTGGGTATCTGGGACCTCACTGTGTGAAGGTTAACTTGGGTACGACTGTTACTGTTGAGTTGTTCTCACTGACTTAAGCACTGTTCACCACTGTTCACCTCTGTTTAACACTGGTTCCGTTCCTTTCCTAAATGAAATTGTAACTTCTGGCGAGAACTTGTTGATATTCCGGTGGGGAGGAGGGTTCAGGGGAGGGGGTTGGTATGGGCCAACTTAACAGTTGACCTGGCTGCTCCGAGAGGAGCGCCAGATACGTCTTGACCCTTCGGTGGTCAAGGATGTAGTGTGTGCGTGTGTGTGAGAGAAAGAGAGAATACGAAATTAAAAAGGAGATAGGCACAAAAAAATTGAAAATGAATTAAGAGATTAAGGGAGAATGAACACGAGAGAAGAAAAGAGAATGACAGAACCAATGCAAACACAATGCTTTGGCTTCATAATGTATTCGTGTTGATTCCAAAAAACATCCACACGCGTAAACAATCATCAGTTTGTTCCTATAAGTCTAACTTTACGACATGCAATGAATAAATAAATGAGGCGGATGGTAGGCGGCTGCTGCCACCTGCCACCGCTGTGTTGACCGTCTTCCGGGTACAGTAAATACAATAATCACAAAATTAAGAAATGTCACCCACAAAGCCCACAAACAGGGCCGCTAAACATGATTTGTGAGAGACTTACTACACCACGTCAGGTCCCTCATAACACCATCTGTGAGGGAATTACTACACCACGTGAGGCCCATCATAACACCACCTGTGAGAGAATTACTACACCACGTCAAGCCCCTCATAACACAATCTGTGATGGAATTACACCACGTGATGCCCGTCATAACACCATCTGTGAGGACATTACCACACTACGTCAAGTCCCTCATAACACAATCTGGCTGACGATCTAACTGACTTTACGATCTGACTAACTGATAGTAATGTCCTTATTATATGACTGGCGGACTGCAAGACGTTCTTCCCTTCTCCTGTGCAGCTCAATGCAACCCAACTTTAATTCTTGGTTAAATATGTTTCATTAGGTATGTACCCATGTAAAGTCTGTTTTACGCGTGTGTGTGTCATTTACCCACCTGAGGCATATGCGATTAACTTGGAGGTGATTGTATCCTTCAGTAAATCTGGTTTCTTCTCCTTCAGTTTATTTACCATCTTGGTCTTGGCAGCCAACAAGGCCACCAGGCTTGCCTCGCTCGCCGTTCCCTGCACGTTCACATTCAAAGATCAGTATCAAATATCAAAATAGAATAAAAATTAAAACCTTACAGTTGATAGTTCTGTTTCCATGATCAAATTCACATTGGTAGCTAAATTTTAAATGCCAAAATCAAAGTGAAATCAGATTTCAAAATTAGAATTCGAAGCATTGTATTTATCATTATTCGAAGCTTAAAATATTTTTAAAGTTCAAATTCAAAGCTAAAACTTTAAGTTAATATTTCAAATTCATTGTTAAGTTTTCATATCTAAATTAAACATTATATTAAAGATTAAAATAAAAAATCTGAAGTTTCCTAATCCATTTTAAAATTATCAAACAGCATTACAACACCTGAATTAACCACGAAATAATTTATCCTTTTAAAACCAACTTAATTATATTAATATCAAACTTATATAAAGCTTCGAGCTTTTTTTTTTTAGATAGAGAGAGAGAAAGAGTGGATACTTGGCAGGGAATTCTCAATTGGACAGACGGGAGCCTACGTAGCCGAGAAACCAATCATGACAAGCTGATGTGCTCAGCGATCGTATACTCTCGGCTAATTCGTGCGCCGTTCTAGCATTACACCGTAGATATATATTTTACTTTGAAAAAAAAATGTATGCATGATTCCCAGTCATGGAAAATCCTGGATAAGTCATTGAAAATTTAGATAACTTGCCAATCATGGAAAAAAATGATTGAATGGTAACTTTCTAACACTTATCATGACTTATTATTGAATTCGTTTAATATTTTTAGTTTTCTTTTTATACAAATAATATTGTTTCTAGATTAATTAACAGGACCGCAACAGTGTTGTTCAGTAACGACCAACAATATATTACTCGTTTGACTTTTGGGGGGAATTTGCTTTATCAAATAATCATATAGTGTAACCAAGAAGCAGTGTTTTATGTATATAACCTATGGGAAAAACTAGTTTTGAAACAATACCTTTACTTAACATCTTTTCCAAAATTACCCTCTCTTCTTTTATACTCACAAGATCCTATACCCTGGCCAAAGTAACAGAAGCTGGCCTGCATTAGGCATGAGTTTTCCTTTTAATAATAACGTAGGCACAGGAAAGGTTCTAACCTGTATGACGCCCCCTCCCTTGCCGCCAGAGGACGCTAGGAACTGTTGAGGGAGGCCAAGCAGCTCACCCAACCAGTCCATCATCACCACCTCCAGCTCCGTGCATGCTGGCGACGAGATCTGTCCCCACACATATACAGGTTACATTATTTATGAAGTAATGTTGATGTGAGACAAAGTCAATATTACATCAGCCAAGGTCACTTACTGTAGTAAATCATCTTCTGAATGACTGTACATCTGAAACGTTATTAAATTATAACCAACATCAGTTTTCATCGCTGCACCGGTCCTTCTGTATAGACTATCGTATACTGAAACTTATGATTCCATCACGGAACTTCATTTGTAGACATTAGACATTACACTTAAATTCAAAGTCAATGTACAGGCCAACTCAGTGTGGACAACCTTTACTGGGAACACCTGAGGTCGTCGACTGGGTCCGACATTTGATCGGAAACGATCCAAAATAGTAGTTCACCACCAATCAAGAACTTGCACTGACAGTGTCTAGTCTCAGGAGTCAGGAGGATTTTCCATGATGATGTGAAACTTTATCTAAACAGCATACAGGTCAGACACAAGCTCACTGACCCACACTTGTGTCTTGTGGAAAAACTGATGAGTGTGATTTTATCAATGGAGTTTGACACACTTTTTTGCTCAATAACCAAGTCAGTTCAAGAAACAATGTCTCCTGGGGCACTTTACCGCCTGGTGAGGATCGCGAGACCCTTAGGCCTGTTATACACGCTCAACCTTTGCTCAGACTTATCAGCACGAACAAAGTTTGCGCAAACAAGCTTGATCTGTGCGTTTTTCCTCCACACCGTACAACAGCTCAGTTCGTCTCAGATTTCAGAAAACTATGTTTAGTGCTAAGGAATGGGGGTGCTGGTGGTAGAGTGGTACCGCTCTTGCCTTCGCAAGCGATATGTCACGGGTTCGATTCCCGGCCCGGTGGAAGTTGTTTGGACATACTTCCTAGCCCCCATTAGTCCCTATTCACCTAGCAGTAAAGTCGGTACCTGGTGTAAATCGAAAGTTGCGAATTCGTATTCAGGGACAAGTTGTTGGAGCTTCCAATAACTTGACATAAACCATTGACTCTTCAGACTTCTATGCCCTTGACTCTTCAGGCTTCTACGCCCTTAACTCATGAGACATAAAGGCAAGCATGAACTTAGCATGCTTCCCTGTTGGGCACTGTAAACGCTTCTGCGCTTCACCTTACACAAGGATGTAGGGGAGTGCCCAATAAATAAAAAAAAAAAAAAGTGCAATGGAAGAGCTGCTGTCTATTTGTACTCTGCCATGTGCAGTGAAAAAAAGAAGACAATAAAACTAAGTTGAAAAGAAAGTGGTTTAATGTTTAGACCACTTTCTTAAACTAAACAAGAGGCCAATTTTCCCATAAAAATTTATCAGCAGAATTATAACTCAAGGCTAATGAGTGGTGTAACTACTTTCGAATGGACAAAGGAGTGTTGTTGTTATAATGTTAAGGCTACCTCTTCACTACAATATATTATTTAATTTCTATTTTCTAGAGTGGTGGCTCATTGTGATAAATCTCGTTCAATCCAGACACGAACTCCTTGGGAGGAACAGTTGCGTAAATCCCTCACTGTCTCACCCAAGATGTAGTCACACCATGTTGACATTACAGCTTGTTGTTATATGTTATAATGTTATTACTGCGCTTCAACAACAAATGTCTTTCAGCGCGTAACAAGGCTAGTACAGTAATACAGTACACTAGTCCAACTGTATTTGCCGAGACAATTTTTTTACAAACTCTTTTACGATTTCCGATGACACTGGTAGATTCTCTCCTTCCCTCGACTTAGCACGTGCAAGAGGATGAGAAAGGGGAGATTTCTGTACATACAATGTATTTGATTATTGAAGTGTGGGGTCTCACCCATGTAAAGCCAATACAGCCGATGGCATCGCTCAACATGTCCGCGAGGATGGACGGGTAGGTGTTGGCAGTTGGGTAGTAGGCGTGGAACTGCGGGGAATGCCAGTGGGTCACCTAGGGAAAAAAATAAAAAAGTACTGGTGAAGAAGAGACCCGAGGAAGGACAGTAGGCTTGTGCCGGGTGCAAATTTCATATAAGTTATATAAACTACTGTATGATGAAAGCTGTACTGTTTCAATTCAATTCAATCTGCTATTGCAACAGCTCTCTTGCTGAGTCCACTGACAAATATTTGTTTTGAGCATACTGATCGGAGACTAATTCCAGTTAGGGGGTAAACAAAGAGATACAGTCCCATAAATGCTTTTGAGTATGCGGCACCTGGTGAACACTACCCACAACTTTGCTGGTGCTAACTGATATTGTTTTCAACTCCTATACTGTAAATTGTATATGACCGCGTGTCTTGTACCGAGTCTGCCTCCCCTCTGGAGTAATTAATTAAAAATGGTGTATAATTTTCATTAGCTTCCATTATTACCATTATTATATTAATGAACAAAAATAAATCACAATATGACACTTGACACGTGTTGTTGCAAAAAACAGGTTAAAATACAGCTTATACAAGGGCAATGACGCATGTAGTTGAGAGAATTGTCACGTACCCCTGGCATGATGACCCTCTCAATATCAGCCATCACATCACTCCATTCATCGGGTGTGTCTGGTGCATGATCCGGCAGAAGTGGTCGTAAATAGCCGGGTTCCACCTCTGGCAACACTCGCCTGTAATGAAAACAGAACGTGTTGGATGAAGCGCAATAATGAGATAGTCAAATATCTTTGTAGTTCTCCCTAACAAAATAATTAAAAAGGCCATATGTTCATTCGGCCAAATGTCCGTCGGCTCGATGTCCGTTCGGTCAAATGTCTGTCGGTGAAGCGTCCGTCGGCCAAATGTCCTTCGGCCAAATGTCCTTCGGCCATCAGCCCGGCCACGCCCTAACCAATGCTATACTCACGAAAAAAAAAAAGATTAAAAAATGTTAAGGCCACAAACTCCTTCATGTGCTTAGTTGAATACCGTCATCATCATCATCATCATAAACGGTTAGTTTCGTCCATGAACATTTCAGGGAAATTCACCAATCCATTTCAAGATATTTAGGGAAATTAAGAACCAAGCAGACTGTGAAGAGCTGCAAAAAAATCTCTGAGCCCCAAGAATGGCTGCTAAGATTCAATGTCACGAAGTGTACTGTAAGAGGATGCACCTGGGACGTACCAACGGAAATGAGGCGTATCATATGTCCCAACGGGACGAAGAAACTGCATTGAGACTGAGGACCTGGGTGTGTATGTTGACAATGAACTGAAGTTCTCGAGCCATTGTGCGAAAGTGAACTGCCAGTTGATTGAAAATATCCAAAGGAGGGCCACCAGACTGGTTTCGGCACTTTGGCACCTCAGCTACCCAGAGAGATTATAGCGCCTGAAATTGCTTATACTCCAGACGGACAAGGGGAGACCTAATTAAGGTGTATAAACATCTCAAAGGGCACTACTCAGTCGAGTGTCCTTACCTGGAGCTGGCGGACGCTCTCCCCACAAGGGGTCACAGCTCAAGGTTGAAGAAACTAAGTCCAGAAAACTGTGAGGGCAAACTTTTTCAGAGTGAGAATTGTGAACTCGTGGATCAACCTGCCAGAGAGTGTAGTGACGGCACCGAGTGTAAGCTGCTTCAAGACCAGACTTGACCAGTACTAGAGCAGGTTCAGATACATTCAGGAGCCAGTGTATGCCCAGTACTTGCTAATAGTGCGTAACAGAGACATGACCGTTCGCCTAAGCGGCTAACGAACCGATCAGTGGTGTAGAGGATAAAAGTAAAAAGTAAAAATTGAGATTATTTTTTTTCCTACTAGTACTACTAGTACAAGTGCTGGATTATTATTGGAACCGATGAGGCTGAAGTCTCAGGCCCAAGGCAATTTTTTTTCACCTTTAAAATCCAAGTTTCCACTTATTTGCATAATACACTGTGTTAAGGTTCTTATATGTTTGTTTCTCAGTTATCTTAAGCCCCATACGGTGTACATTGTGTTAAGTGTACTATTCACTGTAAATGTTCAGTTAATCCACAAAGTATCAGGACCCAGGGTTGGTCTTCACTCCACACTTTCTATTCTTGTTGACTACTGAAGTGTTGATAAATATTTACTGTTATTTGTTAATTAATTAAAAAAAAAGAACTCCAAAAATAAAATTAGCCTCAAGCCCAATGTACAGCTAATCGACAACTACTACTACTACTACTACTACAACTGTTGTTGTTGCTACTACTACTACTACCACTACAACTGCTGCTGCTATTACTACTGGTTTTTTTTTTTTATTAATACTTGGCCTCCATCTCCCCCTAATAGCCACACCTTCGCCGCCATTTTATTACCTTAAAATTATATATCATAATGCATAAGTAGCTATCCTAGCTGTGTTGAGTTAGTTGAGCCGCAGATCTATGCGACATTCAGTGACTGTTGCCTCGTAGACAATATCTGCAACTGCTGTCGGCTTTGGGGCCGATGCTCTCGTTCCCCTGAGGCAGAACAAAGCCGACCCAAGGAGAGAGAAGGACAGTCGACATCTCATCCAGGCTGTAACATAACTTCTGGGCTGCTGCTTCTGTTCGGATAGCTCCTCCGCGAGTCTGGCATAGAAGCATCTTGCACTTGGTCCCATCCCACCAGAGGTTGTGAACACCAGAGGAATGAAGCTGCCTAGATCAACGTTCCGAATTCTCTCCCCGTATTCCCTTATCTTGTCGATCTCGTTCCTCCTGTGTGCAGCATCGAGAGCTAAGTTATGGTGACATGCGGTCATGGGATACAAAATCCTGATGTCGAAGAAGGCTCGCTGTCCCCGCGTCCAGAATCCTCGAGCACTGATATCAACACGGGCTTCGTTGGATGTGTTGAAGTCCGATGTTGGAAATTCTCACCATCCAATGGAAGGAGGGTCGGTTCTACCCTGACATCACGGCAGATTTCCTTCAACATATTTGCTGCGAGATCCCTTACTTCGTCATGCCTCATGCATACGAAGCCCCCTTTCTTGCACACCATGGCGTGATCGACGTCATAGGAAGAGCCACACACGCATTGGGAGGGCAAACTTTCTACTGGCCTACCGTACCTTAGAGCATTGGCATCTGTAAATTCTTGTTTATTGAGACTGAAACCATTTGCCCTTGTCGGTAACGTAGTTATCCAGTTTGAGACGCCCACCTCCTGCGCTATTGCTACCTTTTTTTTTCAAATTCTCTGGTACTTGCAGCATCAGTTGCTGCAACTTATCACTGGCCGTGCTGTCGTTCTGTCGTAATGGACCTTCGAATCTTCTTTACTTCACTCGTATCCACCTCCCCTGTTGCGTTCTGAGCTATTATGTGGTCAGTGAGGGCTGCCGTGAGCTTAACTGAGTTTTGATGCTCGGTGGCAGCAATCTCCTCTGGATTGGCCAATCCCATTCCTCCCAATCTCGGTGGTAGTGCAAGGAGTGGTCTTTCTGCTGGGGTTAAGTGAAAGTGTTTCACCTCTTCACCCTCTTCCAGAGGGTGGAGGAGGGGTCCGATATTAAGGATAGTGCTCATCAGGTAGTTCCAGTGATGCTGGACTCCATGGGTGAATGCCGCAAAAGCCGCATGTGGCTCTGTGTTAGCAATCTCAGACAGAGCTTGGATTTCCCTAACCCACTCATTCACCTTTCCCGTTACGTACTCGGTCTTGAAGTCCGTCGTGCCGACTACTGCGCCTAGGTGTCTTTGGCCATCCTTTGTTCTTTTGACCTCACTTCCACCGAACACCTACATTGCCCGTTCATAATGTTCTGGCTTCGAATGACAATCTAAAATAACTGTTCGTTCATGCTAACGGAAGTGATTGACATAAGTTATGAAGTTGATAGACATGAACAATAAACCGACAGTCTACATATAGTTTGAGAATGTAACAATTGGAGAATGACATACCACCAACAGTTATTTTAGATTGTCATTCGATATGTGTTCTGTCATTCGGTTATGAAATTTGTCAAATAGTTATGTAACTGTCTCAACGGATATGTGAAAAGGTGTATTGCCAGTATTTGAAGAGCTAAAGGGGCAAGGAAGCAGTCCTGAGTGTACTCGGTTATGAGGCGAATCATCTCCCGAATCATTTCTTTGGTGGCCGCACACTTGAGCGGTTCAAACAGGTTAGCTGGCGACCACCTGACAATTTCTGAGTAAGTTTCTTTAACCCATATGTCCGCATTTTCCATCGACATGCCATTCCACTGTGGTGGCTGTCTCTCATTCACCTCGTGGACATCTGCTACTATTGGAGCAGCGTTTATTAGTACAATACTACATTTTCAGGTTGAGTAGACTCACTATTACGAAAACAGGAAGTCTGTCTCTGGTTAGGCTTTTAAATAATGCCGTGTTTCCCCACTTGGAGCACTGTAATTGTTTAGTCTGAGATACGCCAAAGACTGTTAATTTTTTGAGAACGTCCAAGGGGGAGGACCACCAAACTGGTGCCCACACTCACCCACCTCACTTACAGTACCCAGAGAGATTTTACCATCTTCAATTTCTTACTTTATAGAAGTCTACTAGAACCTCAAAGGGCATTGCTCAGTCAACTTTACATATCTGGAATTAGGGGATGGTTGTCCCACTAGAGGGCACAGCCTCAAGGAAGAGCTAATAAAGCGAACCTCTTTGGAGTAAGAGTTGTGAACTCTTGGAATAACCTGTCAAAGAATGTTATGTTAAACATTCGCACATGTTCAGGTGCAATATATTTAAGAGCCCGAGCATGCCCACTATTTGCCCTTGAAGAATAAAGCCAGGTCTACACTATCAGTTCCCACCTGTGGTGTTTGAGTATGATAAAGGTGAGTACCCGGAAAATGAACGTGTAGACGCCAGCAACCGAAGCATCATCCCTGAACGAGGTAGTTCATGATCAAGCGATATATTCGTGCGTGGGCCGCCTGACAGTCGGCTACAGCAGTGTGCCAGACTGCCACAAAAGTCTGGGTTTCACCAGACATTTTAGCTCTGTGCCAGATGTTTCGAGTTATGGGTAATATAGTGGGATATCACCAGAATGTTCAAACTTATCGAGAAAATGGCCTGAAAATCTCCCGGATTTACCTATATATCTTTATGCTCCGAGACTGGTCGTATAAACGAGCCCTAAGGGCTCGTCTCGGCATGTTTTCGAGGCATGGTAACGAAGCCGTGCTTGGGCAGTGATCGTGTAGACCGCAACAGTGAACCACTAACCCTCCCCGGGGATTGAATTGTAGTTACGTGTGGGAACCTAATTTAAGCTCCGTCCACACTATTGGACGGTGACTGTCGGGCACGAGTGATGAGTCAGTCATCTCACACTTTGTGGCAACTTTGACGGGCAAACCAGCGGACAGCCCGTGCCCGTAGTGGAGCGAAATCAGCAGACTGCCCGGTGGTTTGGCGCCAGGCATGGACCGACGACGCTGCCAGCCACAAAAAGTTACACCTGGCTGTCAGTCTCTCACGGTCTCACCACGCACCACGAGCCACAATTGGTGGTTGCCTCGTCATCATGCCTAGCCCTCCGTCCACGTGCACCACACAACCTGCAAACCTCCACTGGTTCAGACAAGATACCTTACAGTTAATTGACCGTTATCGCCATTACCCGTGCCTATGGAATGTCAAAAGTGACATGTACAAAGATAGAGACAAACGTGCA